AAAACCGGAAGTGGCGCTGTAGCTCAAGTGGTAGAGCGCTCGCCTTGAGCTGAAGAGCTGAGGGACAGCGCCCAGGCCCAGAGTTCAAGCCCCAGGACCGACAAAAAAAAAGACCTGAGGTCAAACTGCTGTCCTTGGAGTTGACACCCAGGAACGTGGGACGGGTGACCTCTCTGCCCTCCATGCTGTGAGGTCCAGCACTTCTGGCTGACTCCAGGGCAGGAACTAACCCCACCTGTACACAGCCTGCACGTCCTTGATGCTCTTCCCCACTGGGGGTGGGTGGGGGAGGGGGCACCTGTCACTCTGCCCCTGGTGAAGTGAATAATGCCCAGGGCATGGAGCGCCCACCCAGGGGGACTGACAGTGGCCCAGAGCCTGCTTCCAGGGGAACTACCTGAACACATTGAGTGTTTTGGCCGAAGGGGCCTCCTCGGTCACCTCCACAGCTTCCTCGTCATCGAAATACTCCTCGTAAATGTTGATGGCATTGTTCTGCTTGATACAGTGCTCCATGATCTGGGGGGAACATACCGGGAGTCCTTTGCCCATCCTTCTCTCTGTGCTGCTGCTTTGTTGTTGTTGTTGTTGTTGTTTTTGGATTGGTCGTGGGACTTGAACTCTGGGCCTGAGCGCTGTCCCTCAGCTCTTCAGCTCAAGGCGAGCGCTCTACCGCTTGAGCCACAGCACCACTTCCAGTTTTCTAGTGGTTTATTGGAGATAAGAGTCTCACAGACTTTCCTGTCCGGGTTGGCTTTGAACCTCCATCCTCAGATCTCAGCCTCCTGAATAGCTAGGATTACCACTGGCACGTGGCACTTTTTTTGTGTGTGTACCAAGACTTGAATTCAGAGCCTCCTGCTTGGCCACCTTGCTTGCTCACAGCTATCACTCTACTACTCGAGCCACACCACCTCCAGACCTGCTTTTTGTTGGTAATTTTTTTGGAGCTAGTCTAGTGAACTTTGTCTCCCTGGGTTGGCTTTAAATAGCTCTCAGCCTCCTGAAGAGCTGTGATCACAGGTGTCAGCCACCAGTGGCTGACTCAGTCTGTGCATTTTGGATGGACGGGGGCAGTATTTATTGATGGATCTTTGAGGGCAAAGTGGTATAAGAATTGCTATTCTCCCTCCCCTCAATAGACACAGAAACCCACGGAGGGCAGGAACAACAGGGGTGTGGCAGGCCCGGTGGACACTGAAGTTGGGGTGAGGCCCGTGGCTGGAGCTGGGGGAAGGCTTACGCAGCCCAGCTGCATGATGGCGTTGATGTAGTTCTCATCCTTCTCCACTTTCTTGCGGAATCGGATGGTCTGCTCCAGCTCCAGGGGGTTCACGTCCTTGGGCCAGCCCCCCTCGACGTGATTAACTCCCCGAGTCTCCATCTCGAAGCGCTCTGTATTGGCCTAAACAGAGAGCCAATAGGTGAGCGCCACAGGAGAGAAGACACTGGCCACCTCTACAAACCATGACCCTGGGTTTGCAGGACCCTGAGCAACCAAGGATGGACTGCCAAGGGCCCTTGCCAAAGCCGCTTAGCGGGAACTTTCTGATTTGTGCCTGGTTTCGGTTGCTACTTATTTTGTTTTGCTGGTCATGGGGCTTGAACACTGGGCTTGGGCTCTGTCCCTCAGCTCTTCAGCTCAAGGCCAACACTCTACCACTTGAGCCACAGCATCACTTCCGTTTTCTGGTGGTTTATTGGAGATAAGAGTCTCATGGACTTTCCTGCCTGGGCTGCCTTTGAACCATGATCCTCAAATCTCAGCCTCCAGAGTAGTTAGGATTACAGGCATGAACAACGGGTGCCAGGCTCATCTAAACTAATTACACTGGGACCAACCACACCCAAATGGAAGGTGTTTTGGTCCAGTTGAGCATGGCTGTCACACAGGGGTTTAGGGACATGATAAAGTGGGTGATCTCATTCTGCCCAATTTTCTCTCAGCAGCTACTGACCTAGCCCTCTGGTTCATGGGCGGGACTTCTCTGGGTCTCCCCAGAGCATCTAGAACCCCACGCACCCTGGCTGGAACTTCCTGTGGCCTACTCCTAAGAGATGGGTTCTCTTTCCTCTGAATCCCCTGAATTCCTCCCCCACACCCAATGCCCAAAGTGACTCAAGGCTGGCCTTCCCCACCTCTAGCACCTGTACAAGGCTAAGGTCACCGGCTCCCAGGGGGCCAGGACACCTGGTTGCTCTGGCCCCCAGCCCGGGGCGTGGGAAGCGGGACCCACCTCGTGCTCCGACATGCTGGCGGAGCACTGGATGCCCTTGTCCACTGGGTTGCGCTCCACGAACTGCAAGGCCAGGTCGGGGTTGGGCGTGATGTCGATGTTGAGCTCGGCCTGGCGGTCTGAGAAGTTGCATTGCTTCCCAAACTCACTGCGCTTCTTGAGATACACGTACACAATCTCCATGGCAACAGCTGCTGCAGGGGGGAGAGGGGGAGACAGGGCTATGGGGCTGCACCTGGCCCCTGCCCCTTCTCCTGGGGCAGCTCCAGTGGTGTGATCTGGCTTTCAAAGGGTGGCAGAGACCCTACGGGAGATTCCACCCCCCTCCAGAAGCTAACTTTGTATTTTAAAACCCCATCTGAGCTGCAGTGCTGGTGGCTCACACCAGTAATCCTAGCTACTCAGAAGGCAAAGAAGTGAGGATCATGGTTTGAAGCCAACTTAAGTCTGTGAGACTCTTATCTCCAACCAGCAAAAAACTGCAAGAGGAGGTGTGGCTCAAGTAAAAAAAAGTGCCAGTCTCTGAATTCAAGTCCCAGTACTGGCACAGCACAAAACAAAAGCCAACCAACCAACCAACCCAGCATAATGGCAAACCGCTTCTAGCACCAACTTGAGTCAGACTCTAGCAGCTTCTCTCCTGGGTGGAAGCAGTGACAGAGGGGTGAGGGGAGACGCCCACAGCAGCAGGGGGCCCTCATGTCTTTTTCTTGTCAGTTGTGGGGCTTGAACTCGAGTCCTGGGTGCAGTCCCTGAGCCTTTTTGCTCAAGGTTAAGAGCTCTACCACTTTCAGCCACAGCACCACTTCTGGTTTTCTGGTGGTTAATTGGAAATAAGAGTCTTACCGACTCTCCTGCCCAGGCTGGTTTAGAGCAGCGATCTTCAAATCTCAGCCTCCTGAGTAGCTAGGATTACAAGTCTGAGCCACCAGTGCCTGGTTCCTGATATCTTTCTTTTACACTAAGATAGGACTTTGGGGAAAAAGCATGCAAAGTTAATTAAATTCTTCCCCTGTGCCTCCCAGGGAAGGTTGCAGGACCCAGCATTGCTTCAGCCTCTTTCCCTCGCTGTCTCTGTCTTTTCCTTGTCTGTCGGTGTGTCTGCCTGTCTCCTCCTTCCCTCCCTCTTTCAACAAAGAGGCTTGGGAGAAGGAGGAAACTCCAGGAAGACAAAAATAGCCTCTTCATCCCCATCAGATTTTTAACAGTTTTTCTCTCCCAAGGCCGAGCCCTGAGGGAGAACACTGGCTTTGTTTTGGTTGGAGGCAGACAGAGGGACATTTAAGGCTGGCCCCAATATGGGAGACCGCCCCAGCGCCAGCAAGGCATGAAGATGAATAGTGAGAGAGGTCAGCCAAGGGGGTGGAAGGGGCAGCTCCCCTTTCTTGGGAGACAATTAGTATGAGGCAGATGTCCCCATACTGTTCAGCAGGGGCTGAACAGGGGGCCTGGAAAGAGGGGCAGCAGTTGTGTTCACTGCTGCTTGGCTTTTCAGAGGGTGCCTGACCTCTGTGGGAGACTGGAGGCCTACAGGGCTGCACAGCACTCAGATGAGCTACCGGCCGGGAGTCAGACTGGAACCTTTCCTCACTACCGAAATAAAATTCATAATGGGTGTGGAGGTGTGTGCCTGTAATCTCTGCCCTCGGGAGTCTAAGCCAACCTAAAAGATGCTTTTGCTAGCTCCTACGAATTAACTAAAAGCTCCCCAACTTTTTGCCCTTTGATCAGAGCTATTCTCTACTGCAGTCAGTTTTGCAATCATCTTGGGCTGCAAGAAAGACTATATTCACTGATAAAGCATTGTGTGTGTATGGGTGTGGGTGTGGGTGTGTGGGTGTGAGGGGGTGTGCGTGCATGCGTACTGGAGCTTGAACTCAGGGTCTGGATGATGTCCCTTAGCTTCTTCACTCAAGGCTGGCACTCTACTACTTGACCCCATACCTCTAATTTCAGTTTTTTGGGTGGTTAATTGGCGATGAGTCTCCTGGACTTTTCCTGCCTGGCCTGGCTTCACATCCTGGTCCTCAGATCTCAGCCTTCTTGAGTAGTTAGGATTACAGGCCTGAGCCACTATCCTATTTATTTGGCATATAGAGTGAATGGCTGGACCTAACTTCGAATTCCTTGACTTTGGGACTAGGGGTCTAAAACTGACTTCAGGAGGGTGAGGCAGAATGATTGTGATTTTGAGGTTTATCTGGGCTACATAGCTAATCCCTGCCTTTCACCCCTTTGTTGATAGAATGAGCAGACTCATTTCTGGAGAAGAAAGGACCCCTGTGGCTTAACAGGAAGTGTGTTTCTCCAGTGTAGAGAAAGGCAGGAAGAGGGTCTCCATTCCTGGGCTGGTGGGGGAGGGAAGGGGAAGGCTGACCCCTGCACAGGACTCCGCCATAGAATAAGAGGAGGACGTTTTCCTCTTGTTCTAATCCAGGGGGAAGTCCCAGTTTGTGTGCCCAGGACTGTCCAGCCCTACCTGGCAAACATGCAGTGGGGGTCTTCCTTCCTGCTGACCCATGGCTGACCCATGGCACCTGGCATTCTGGGGTTCTAAGGAACTCACCTGACAAAAGAGCCTTCCCTCCCTAGTCCTCCCCGCTGCTCACACTGGGCCCCTGCCCCAAGCTTGGTGGACCCAGGCGGGAAGGAGGAGGTCCCAGAATTAGGAGAGTGACATAGGCCTTTGGATCTTCCCAACAATGCTTCCTCCAACAATGCTCACAACTCAGTGCTGTGGGCCATCCCTGGGCTCTCTTCCCAGGTGCGGACAGCTCACACCTGTCATCCTAGCTACTTGGGGGCCTGAGATCTGAAGATCGAAGTTTGAAAACAGTTCAGGCACATGGTTAATCTCCAATTTACCACCCAATCAGGAAGTGGAGGTGTATAACCCCAGGAGAGGGAGAGACAGAAAGAGGAGGAGAGTGAGGGGGTGGGGGACAGGCAGACAGAGTCAGACACTGGGAGACAGAGACCTTGAGTTTAAGCCCTAATCTTGTACACACACAAAGGCCAATGCCCTTCTACCACTTGAGCCACGCCTCCCCTGCTGTCTGAGAGGTGGCCTTCTTTATTCGCCTTCTATTCCCAGGGCCTCACACAGAGAAGCCTGAGCCTGTTTTTGTCACCTGCTGAGTGTGTACCATTGACACCAACCTTTTAAACCTGGGCTCTCTACAGCTCCTCTCCCATTCTCCCTCTTCCTTTTTTAACCCCCAATCCCCCCCCAAAAATAAATAAAGAGAAGACTTAAAACAAACAAGGGACTTGAAGAGGGACACGGGATCTGAAGGCTAGGAGAGGATGCACTTCCGCAGTTCAAGAGAAGGAGCAAACTAGGATCTTGTTGCAGGAAAAAACAACTGCATGGGCTATGAAGACTCAACCAACTGTGGGCTACCGGCTGTGATCCTGGACAGTGGCACCTCTCAGCCAGAGAGACAGAAGAAAGGATTCAAAGTGAGGCATGGCTCAGAGGTAGACAGACCCCTTGCCTAGGAACTCCAAGGCCAAGAGTCAAACCCTCCGTGCCCCCCACAAATGGCACCTAGCAGATGCACATCATTCTTTATTTCCTTCCCTCTCTCATCACAAAGTTCTCTTCAGGGCAGATTTTCTACCCATCGAACTGTAAACCCAGCAGAGGTCTCACAGGGGTGCGGGGTGGGGTGGGCATGGGGCAGGGGTGCAGGAGGTTAAGGTGTTCGGGGTTGCAGGGTCCCGGAAGGGTCTCCAGGGCAGCGAGGACCCATGCAGTGGAGGGCATTGGAAAGGCTGGTCCTGACCAGCACCCTGCAGAACGAGCCCAGAAGGACAGCACGGGGAGGGGGGGATTGATGCACTATTAGTGATTATTACCAGTGGGACTCCCTCCTCTTCACCGATCACTTTCCTCTTCAGGCCTGGACGGATCTCCCCGCGTCGACCCCTAAACCCCGGATCGGCTCCTCGGGTCGCTTCTCCCCCGCCCCCCCACCCCGCCCGCTGCGTCTGCGTCCTGCACGGCTCAAACCGCTGGGAGCCGCAGAGTTTACCGGTTGCCTAGCAACCCCGGCCGGGGCCGAGACGCCGGCCGCGGGGAGGCAGCACGGAGCGCGCCGTCCGCGGGTCCCGCCTCCCCGGCCCGGCCCGCCCCTCCCCTGCGTGTCTGCAGCGCGGGGCTGGGGGGCGGGGGGGGGGGAGGGGGGGGGGGGGCAAAGTCAGCCGAGTTACAAACCCAGCCCCTGGGGACACGGGATTCCACCGGCTTTGCCAAGAAGCGCATCCAAGACGCACAGATGCGCATCTGGCTGAGTCCCGAGAAAAGGCAAAAAGGTTTCGGTCAGTGCTGGGAAAGCCCCGAGCCCTGGCTGACCCGGTGGATGGAGGCGGGCTCTGCTCTGCTCTCTGCTTCTGGTCTTGGCAGGCCACCTCGCCACGCCTTCCTGCAACTTCCTCCCCTTCCCACTTCCTCTGTAGCTTCTCCTGCACACAGCTGGCTACCTTGCCAGAACTCAGCATTCCCACGATTGTAGCTGGCACATTGTCATTCGTCGTTGTGGTTCGCTGAAGGGATGAACGCTCAGGAAGGAATCGTGTTTATCATATGACCTTCAACAAGCTACTTCCCCCCTCCCCCC